TTCTATGAACGTTTCAGAATGGCAAAAGCTCGGGTGAGTTCGGTTAACATCGGATAGTCTCGGGCAGTGAAGGTCCAATACTGTAGAGGTTCAATCTAAAATCTGAAATCTTCACTCTACTAATTTCGCAGGTTCTAATATTGTTCTCAGTATTACTTATAGGCAACCAAGAACATTAGTCAAAGTAACAAGACCAATTGGATTAAAATTTGAAGTCTTCACTTCAATAATTTCATAAGTTTCAACTTTATAGTAAATCTAATAGAACATAAAGTCTCAAGTCTCAAGTCTCCAGTAGTTTCAGAGACCCAAGCTTCGCTTTCAGCCTTATCTATAAGCAATCAAGTTTTGTTTTCCACATTGCACTAGGCCTAATAGGATTTATAGTTATAAATCTCCACTTTACAATTTTCACAGTTCCTAGCTTTGTTTTCAATATTATTTAAAAACAACTGAAAATAATAGACGATGCAACGACTTCAATATAACCTAAAATTTAAAACTTTCATTCTATATCAATTCGTATCAATTTCGTATCAAATTCTAATTTTCTTTTTAATAATTGATAATAGCAGATCCAATAGAATTTAACAAATTTGAATCCAATGCTAAAATATTACTATATAATATCTATACAAATTTAACTTTTAATCTTCTATTTAACGTATGTCTTCCAAACCTTCATTGTTTCAAAACAAAGCACACTCCTGCGTATCGCACACTTCTCTTCTCGTGATCCGGATTCCAACGTGTCGCCCGTAGCTGGTTAATCCACGACGCGAATGCGAATCGGAAACAGTGCTTTCAAGACAAGACGAACACGAAGCACCAAGTTTCGACTTGTGACGTTCCATCTATCCACTCATGGCGTGGCTTATGTACCGGCTCGCGTGATGTCGTTTCGTATACACCGTTCCTTTACCTCGAGGGCATTAGCAATCGTTAGTACGACGGGTTTACGGCCCGTTACGTGCAACGTTGGAGAAAGCTGGGCTATTACCGCAACGTTGCACGAAACCTTTTTTCCTCTGTTATGGCTCGTTCCTTGCCCTCGCAAAAATAGAGAATAAAAACAATGCGAAAGTCAAAAAATCAAGAATCATTGTAAATTATTTTTGGAAAAAAAATTGGGCGATGATTTTTAAGATTTTTAAGCGTTTTTAGTGAGATTTAGAGAATTGAAAATAATTTAATTGGAGATTTGGTTAATCTTTCATCGATAATTTTTTATTGAAAAATTGAGCAATGATTTTCGTTTTTGATAATATTTGGAAAGCTGGAGGAAATCTTTAATCCAGCTTCATTTCTTATTGTTTAAAAATTTAAAAAAGTACGAAGAAAAAATGTTGAGATACTTATTATTTTTTTATTAGTTTCTAATATAGTGTAAAAGTGATATTTCAATTTCAAATATCATATTCAAAACTTTTTAGAATAAAAAATGTTGATATATAAAGAAAACACAAAATAATTGATATATATAAATAAATATAATAATAATAATTAATAAATATTATCATTATCAAATGATAACTAAATAACTAAAATAAATATTGAAAATTGTGAGCGATTTTAATTTTTTAACCAAAAACTGTACAATTGAACGTAATAAAATAATTTTTTGAAAGTATGCATCATTTAATAATAAAATAAAAAATATAATTAAGAATTTTGTCATATATTAATAAATATCTGAATATACTTAAATATCAGTATTTTATTTTTATTGTGTTTCATTATTCTTATCAAAATTGTCTCTTTACTTTTAGAACTGCAAATTCCATATATATATATTTTGTAAATATCTATATTTATTATTTAACCATTTTAAATAAAGCAACAGGTGGTTTATTATAAATTAATACGTATGAAATATCGATATTATTTTCTTGAAGACGCATAAATATTCTTAATTAAAAGATTCAAAAAATTAAAATTAAATTGGAATATTTATATCTATTAATAAATAAAAATCATGTTAAAAAAATGTATGCTATATTATATATTACGATTTTTTCAGAGATTAATAATAGTAGATATTAATGAAACATCTATTTTATTGTCAATTAATATCCTATTATTTTAAAATCCTCCAAGAATTTCAATCTATTTTATTAGGTTCCTTTTGACAATTCGATTTGCTGTCACCTATAAACAAATATTTAATAATACAAATATTTCTTATTTTATCATCGTCTCTTTTTTTAACTAAAATATTTATTAAACTATAAATAATAATATATATATAATAAAATTGGTAAATTTAATTTTTAAAATTAAGCTATATTGAAAAAAATTTCACTACCAAACAATTTTTTGAAATTCTAACCTAACTTTCCGCCAAAATTCATCAATTTTTAAAACAAAATTTCTAATTCAAATATTTCGCCAATAATACAAGAATTTACAAAAAATCTAAAAACATGAAAAAAAAAAAACAAGCAAAAACAATTTTCAAATGTTCGTAAAAATATTTATCCACAAATATTTATCCAAAAATATTTATGCCTTGATTTCGTGCAAATAGAGATAAATGAACGCGATTGTTACTCGGTTGAAATCACCGAATACACATGACAGAATATCCAGTTAACCAATTAAAAACGGTCAACGCACAAAGAAACGAAGAATATCTGCGTGGTTTTCGACGATTAAATTAAACTGAATTTACTTGTTTCAATCGTTCGCACGATTCGCTGGTAGAAACGCAGCCAGGCGTCAAATTGAGCTTGTCAAAATTTTACACGCGCGAAAGAATCACAAAAATCATACTGGTATTCATATCAAATAATAGTTGTGAGAGTAGATAAATATTGAAAATAGTAATACAAGTTTGGATAAATGTAGATAGATATGCTAAAAAATGTAGATCTCTGATGGTAATATGGTTCTCTCTGTAGGTAATAATAATCATGTAATAAGTAGATTATAATAAAGATATTTAATAGTAAAATTAAAATGTTTCATTATTTATTAGATTTGTCAGATTTATATATGAAAATATACAATTGATTATAAATATGCATTTTATTTTTGCTAATAAGATGTATGTTTGACATAACCTCAAAAATGTTTTTTAAAAAAAAATTTTTTATTTAGATTAGATGAGTTAAAATATATTATAATGAATATATGATGAAAGATATGTATATTTGATAAAAATTTTAATTGTTAATATTTTTTAAAATTTTCGTACGTACGTACAGAAACATTTCATAATAAAGAGAAATATGTCTCTCAATGAGTAAAAAATTAAAAATTCTCAAAAAAAGAGAGAGAGAGAGAGAGAAATAAATAAATAAAAATTTCATATATTATATAAAAGTAAACTAAAATAATTTACAATTTAATTTTTTTTATATATTTGATATATTAAAAAGAATTTTATAAAAAAATGAAGTTGTAAAAGCAATATAAAAGAGAAATATTTTTATCAATTTTATTAAAACGAAGTAAAATAAATGGATAATAATACAAAATTGCACGTGAAATATGCAAAATATGATAAAATTAAATATAAACACCGACTACATGGCAGAAAGCTAGAGAGAACAGTAAACACTTTTAAAAATATTACAGCATTAAAAGAATTACATTTCAATAGAAAAATTTTATATGTTATGATTTTAATCAATAACATCACGTATTCAAATGGAGATCATTTCAGAATTATGACAACTCACCAAAAACTATTGAATCTGAATGATAATCTTGAAATCTGTTGACTTTGTTCAAAGATACTTTGATGTCAACCAAAGCAGATTCTGAGAATTTGGAATGTCACTAAAGAAGATTTTAAGATTTCAGGTTGTCCAAACGAATCTCGAAAACGTGAAGTCTTGTAGGACATTAAGAATTTTTAGAATGTCACACTATTGACATATTTCACTGTTAGTATAACGACAATAATTTTTCTTTTATAAAAAAATTAATATTTTTTTAAAATAATAATAATAATAATAATAATATTTTATATTTGAGTCATTTCTTATACAATTAAAATTTATATTTTATTTTCTATATATAAATATATATATAAATTTAATCAAAATTAACCATCTTAAATGGTTCGACAATCGCTAACTAATCGTTCAGTCAGCATTGATTGAGTACTGGTTAACTGAATACATTACACAGATATACTTCATTTATAATCAGAAGCAAAAAGCGTAACGAAAAGTGACACGAGTCGATATATAGGAACTCGCATGATTAATTTTTCAATACGTGATTATTTTCTTTCACGTATGCTTATTCATAACCTGTCTCGTATAAGTTAATTATATATCGTGTGTCTTCGAATTCTATGAATAGAATCTATAGCATAGACATTATCGATATAGATAAATAAAACTCGGCAACCTTGCACCGCATTGACCGATTTGTAATTTCACCACGAACTTTGGTCGCGCTCTCTTTTTGCCACGTTCTCTTCTATTCTTAGAATCTCTATTACGTTTCAATAAGAAACGGATAATTTACTCTGTCGTGTCGTTTCATACGCGAACTCATTCTACGTGGCATTAGCCTATTCGATAAGAAGCGAATTTAATATCTATTCCAAGAAAAAAAGTCAATGTATATGCCTTAATCGAATAATGCGAAAGCAACGTCGAAACTTCATTAAAATTTAAAGAAGTTTAAATTGCTCTAATTCCGAAGATAATAATTTTCGATCAATGAATGAGAGATCATTAGAAGCGCAGAATCTTATCCTTTAAAATGTATTTTCATTTATCTCGATATTACTTCCCGTTCTTAAGATATCATCGTGTAAAAAGAAGAGTAATTTTTAATCATTTGCTTTCTCTTTTAAAGTCAACTGAACTCTATTAAAATTACAAAAAGTTTAAACAACTATAACTCCGAGGATAATTATTTCTGATCAACAAATGAGAGATTGTTAAAAGCAGGAAATCTTACTCTTCAAAACGCATTTTCATTTATCCCAATACGATTTTTAGTTCTCTAGATATCATCGTGTAAACAAAAAGATAATTTTTAATTTCGCTTATTATCTCCGTCTTTGTTATTTATCGGATTTCTTACTCATACTCATTCTATTAATCTACATCAAACTAAACAAGTGAGAGACATAATTTCTGAAAGAACATAATATTCATCTCTAGGATAAAATGAAAGATTAAATTTTGGATCGTGGACGTATTCATGATCTGTATACTGTTTTAAACACTATGGAAACTTTGAATTCTTATATCTTGGCAACCGATTGAGATATTGGGATAAATCAAAAGGGTATTTCAATAGCACGATTTTCTTTATCTTCTGAAAGGATTTTGATAAAAATTTTAATTTTTTCTTTTTTTGTAAATTTTTCATCAAAAATTGAATATGCTTATTGGAAGCTAAAATTAATTGTATTTTTAAATAAAATATCGAGAAAAATTAATAGTAGAATACGCATGGAATTATATAAACGACATATCAATGAATTATGAAAGTTGATGTAAATTAAAATTTTCAACTTATACTGAAAGATAAAATAAATATATAATTCTTTTCTTGATATCATTATATGATATTCTAGATAATTAATAAATTATTTTCTAAATCAATTGTTGATAATCTGATTAAAAAAATATAATCCTGCCTGGAATTTTATGGTTTTATTAAATTTATTTGTTAAATTCAATTTAATAAATTTTCCATTTGCATGGTAATCGATTATTTTTATAAAAAAAATTTTCTTCAACTAAAAACTTTACCGGAATAAATTATACTGGAATTATGTATATTTAAGAACTCAATCTCTCACTCTTATCCGATTTCAATAAAGAAACGAAATGAGGAAATTTTTCTCTGTATTTATTAATTGAAGTTAACAGAGTTAAATAACGTGATAAAGGGGAACGAGGATTCGATAGACCAATTTTATTCAAAAGATTATATTCCTACCTAAACTCTGACCCAGTATTCAAATGTCAAGGGTTTTTCGATATTGCAATACGTGTAACGATAGTATTCACCATCTTTTTTTTTTTTGTTAGTTTCGATTTTATGATTTAATATTTGAGATAATACAATATTGAATTCGATCCTGTATGAAGATATAAAAATTGTTAATTATGAATGTTGGCAATTTTTAAAAATTAAAATAAAATAACAATTTTATTGAAAAATTTATTCAATAACAAATCAATTGTTACAATAAAAAATCCTTAAAAGCACTTAATAATAATCATCGAATATAAACTTTTTCATTTTCAAAATATTTCATCATATTCACATCCCACAACGTTTAGAAATCCTTTAATATCATAGCAATCACAATTAAAATTCTGAAAATTTTAAAACGATTTTCCTTAAAATCATTCCGTTTTTAATCACAATATCTAATTTAATGAAATATAACAAAAATTATAATCAATTCTTTTAGAATCCTATTTTTCAATTTTGCACAGTTTTTTTTCCACTATTTTTTCCGTTACACATGTTACACTGGCTCGTGTCGCATTCCCTCACGAACAACTATAAAAATAACACAGCGCGTTATCTTGGTTATGGCATCTGCGCGATCATTGCACGAAGAAGGATAGAAAAATGCAGAGCATTGGCTGGTTGAATATGATGCGTGCGATGGCATTGGCTCGTGAGCAAATAAATTAGCTGGATGGTGAGCGAATGTGTTACGTCGAAAGTGTTACACAATACCTCGTTGTAATTAAGATAATACATTTTCTGTGTTATTGCAAAACATTTACACGTGTGTACATACTTAATCCTTAAATGAAATGCATCAAGAAACGATCAAGAAGATATTATAGGATTAATGATGATGAATAATTTATGGAGATCAATGTTGATAATGGAAGTTTCAATAATTCTTTTGCACAAAATTTGAACTTTGGTATTTGAATTTTTATGGAGAAGTTGATGTTAATATGGATTTTTATTATTTAGAAGAAATAAATTGTTTTGCAAAAATTTTCGAGAGAACAAATTTCTTTCGAAATAATTATTTTACAGATATGAAATTTAATATTTTCCAAAATCAAATTTCCTTTTTATATTTATATTTTACAACTTATTACAGGGTCAAGTTGTCTTGAAGAAAATTTGAATGAAACGAAAGAGAGAAGACATTTGAAAAAATGTGACGAATCAACTTAACCAATTTAAAAGTGGATAAATAGCCATGAGGAATTTCATATAAAAATGAAAGAAATGGAATACTTTGTCAACGTAACTGATATTTATTTTAAATGAGCTGTTGTGATAATCTGTAAATTTTTTATTATATTTTAAAAAATCCCTCTTCGAATATGATCGCTTTTTCAATATTTTT